TCTCATTAATTTTGGCTCTAAATACTTAAATATAAGCCACTAAAACAGTTATCCTCCTAAGAGTAGAAATTGATATCTGAGTAATTATCAGTGGTGAGAAGTTGCACAGTTGCTGAAATACAGACCATTGTGTCCTTAAAAAAAATAGCCACATCTTTGATTAAAAAATTACCTTTATTTTTAAGCTTTCTTTGACAAAACATTATTTTAATAATCAGAAAATATTTCTTTCTTTTTTTACACAGCACACTATTAAGAAATTTGTTAGAAAAAGCAAGTCTGCTCAATATTAAAGTTTAAAAAGATAACTATACATTAAGTTAGCCAGAATCTGTAAGGGAAAGAATCTGACATTCTATCATGGAATAAATATATAATAAATTAGAGTCAAATATTTTGTCTTTAGGGCTATATTATGTCAACAATAAATGGCTTCTATATATATCAGTATCAATGCTTCCTGGTGGCTCAGTGGTAAAGAATCCACCTGCCAGTCAATGCAGGAGACGCAGGTTTGATCCCTGGGTCAGGAAGACCCCTCAAGAAGGAAATGCATTCTTGTCTGAAACATCTCATGGACAGAGGAGGCTGGCAGGCTATAGTCTATGGGGTCACAAAGAGTTGGACATGACTGAGTGACTAAAAAGGCACATACACCACTAGATCCACTTTTCCTACATGGTCAGGTTAATTCAGAGTGAGGCAGAAATAAAGGACTGACAAAAGTAATGCTCAGCATGAATAAAGGATGGACACAGCAGTTTTGTAATATGCTGGTTTGCTTAGTGAAGAACGGAAACACTGACAAGCCACCATCAGAGCTATGGTGGAACAGAAACCTCACTCATTTTTAGTTGCTTACTGTATCAGAGGATCCATAAAATTTGGAAAATAAACTGTAAATCTGAAAAAAACTTAACTGTGAAGCAACAGCTATAAAATATAGTGCTAAATGAGCATGAATTCTTTGATTTGAAAATTTACTACAACACAATTTCTCAACTTTGAAATTTCAAAACAAGTAATACTGCTTACGTACTTGATTCAAAATAGGCTTTGTTTATCAGAGCAACAAGGACAGTTAATTTACCTTAATAGAAAATTTTGTTTAGAAAGAAAAACACTGGCGTGTGCTTCCTTAAGCACTGGCAATCTCTGATAACCACTCAGTTCTCATTTTGTAAGTAGTAGCAAAGCTCTTATCTCTTTAGATATTTGGATTTCACACAGTTACTCAAAAAATATGTCTATATTGATTTATTCAATAAATCTATTCTGAGGGACTGCTATGAGACAAACCTTGTATTTCATACTTTATCAAGCCTTAAAATATGTATTTCATATTTATTATGCCTTAAAATACTATTTATGGTCAAAATCAACATACTTAGCATACTTACTGCCCAAGCTTAAAAATGAAAGAGGAAAATACTGATATCACCTTTGTTATCCTGCTGGAAGAGCTTCCAAAATTAAAGAGGAAAACGGTATTTGTGCTGTTGTGCCTGGTAATGTGCTAGGAGTTAATCTCCACAAATTTAAGGACAACAATGGATGCAATCTGTTAAGGTTACATGACTTAAAATATTCTGAACACAGAGATCCTGTGTGTATCTGTATTATGAGGTAGTCTGAGAAACTAGGGTAGAAAAGTTAAAAGAATACTGTACTACTTTAACTGAGTTGGAGCTTCTACTACAAGATATCTTATGATATTGTAGAACTACAGTTTAATATTATAAGAAGGTTCAAATCTGATTTGGAAGAAGAGTGCAATAAATATGAACAGCTATACTTTGAATTCAAAAGGCAAAAAAAGTTAGGAATTAGTGTGGAAAATTTGGGGAAAAAAGATCTTCCTCTTTGATTTTCCCATTCTAATTCCTTTTTAAAACTTAATTTGGACTTATTTTATTGTTTTCCTATGATTACATTCAGATTAATTGGGGGGAGTGGTCAGAAATACTGCATAGGAATTACTGTCATAATTTCTAAAATGCTTTATCTTGAGTCCATATTTTCAACTCACAGGTGGGACTGCCTCACACTTAAAAATGACTGATATGATTTAATACACAATATGTTAATTTAAAGCAATGCTAAGTAGAGTGAGGTGGTCTGCTATACTGGTGACCACCAATGAACCACCTCCTGGGTCAAGCTCTCATTCAGTTTCCTCTTTTTTCAATCGGGGTTGGACCTGTGACTTGCTTTAACCAACAGAATACAGTAGTAGTGATGTACTAACTCCAAAGCCTAAGCTGCAGCCTAGCAAATTCTGTTTCTTACAATTTTGGGAGCCCTAAGCTAGCACAGAATGAGCCTGGTTCTGCCACTCCACAGGACGTGCGGACAGAGAAAGGCCCTAAGACTGTGGGGACTGAAGCCTAGCCACCCTTCCAGAAGCCCCACCAACCAACCAGGTGAACACAGCCACAGAGCAAGAACAGTGGAAGAGACACCCAGCTGAGCACAGACCATGAGCAATAAAAGAGTTATAACAATCCTTCATGTTTTGGGATTACAAAATACTTTGCTAAAAATGATGAAACAGTATGTTATAGCATTTTGCAGTTTGCTTCAGCTAACACATGTGTTTTGTTTATTAATGAAAAAATTATCATGAAACACAAAGAAATTGCTACATAAGTACAATCCAACACTTTTAAACAAAATATCAAGGAGCACACAATCTCTAATTTTATTTGTTTAACAGAGATAGTCCTCAAGAGACTATTATTAAAATATGCTTTCTACTATAAACTATTTATTGAATATGAAGAATAAGTTTGTTTCTCATTTATGGGTATTATTTTCACTTATAAACACATTAAAAGATATAACATTAGCTATCTTTCTAAGTAGAAAGTGCTTTTACATTTTCCAACCAAAGAATTTTTCTCTTACCTGAATATAACACGTAAGGACTCCTGTTGCATAAATGGGGACAGTAGCTTTTGTGAGGACCCCATTTCCTGCTGAGGAATCTAAAAATCACAAAAATAATTTAAAATATCTGAGTATGCTTTAAATGTAAAGCAAAAAGTCACAGTACAAATTATATTTTAAATTACAATTGGTTACAAGGCTTACAAATAAATGTTATCATTACTTTAAAAATATTTTGATCAAAACATATATATCCACTGGTGGTTGTGAAAATGCAACTTAATACTTTTCAGAGCCATTAGCATACACAATTTTGATAGATGGGAAAAACTCTAATCACCAAAATTCGATGCTATACTGTTATTTGCATAGTCATAAATCAGAGCTTTCTTTAACACTTTCTCAAGTGGCCATATAAGCATGTTGTATGAATTTTCAGGCTTTTAATTTGCAGTATTCAGTAAAACATCAAGGTACTCAGCTGAAAGGAGACACCTAGATATATATTTAACCTGTTTCTAGACATTGAGACACTACCTAGTTTCTACTATTAGCCTAGTTCCAGAGCTCTTCCTGTATCCTGTACGGGGGTTTTTTAGAAGCCAGACAGAACCCTGACTATTTTCATGGAGTAGGCAGGATAAATACAGCTTGGGGAAAGGGGAAAGCATCCAACCACAGCTGAGTGTCCTGTGACAACTTTAAGACATCAGATTTTCCTATGCAGCATGTGTAGATGATTTTTTGAAAACAGGTCCAGAGATGATATGGCAGTTGCTATTTATAGCACCAACAGCTCTCACGTACTGATGTAAGGCATTATTTGAAGCACTTTACGTTTGCTTTTATGTACTCAAACTTTTAAAAATTACTTTTTTCTATTCTTATATGGTTTTAAATTCTTTTCAGAAAGTAGTGCATACAGAATTCAGGTAAAAACATGTATAACTATCTTGAAAGTATTTTCACCAAAAAAGAATCTATTATCATATCAATTAGTATTTGAGGTTTTTTTATTCTCTTGGCAAGAGTAATTTTACCTTTTGGGGACTACTGATGTTGGCTGAGTGTGACTATGGTAGCTGAGAGGTAAATCTGAGGCTACGAACATAAGCTTAAGTTGAATTCATACATAAGGACTGTATATAATCACCTCGTAACTAATAATTCTGAAAGCTGTCATCATCAGAATGTATAATTAACTAAACAGATAATACCAATTTTTAATTCCAAGTAATCAAACCATTAGAAAGCTATATAACATAAACTTTAGGAAGCATTTGTAAAAAAAAAAAAACCCAAACAACTCACTGACATTTTCAAACTTAAAAGGAATCATTTATTCACTCTCTAATTACCTCTGAGGACAGACAAAAATGGAGTTTTCCAGACAACTCAAATCAAATCACTAAGGTAAGACTGAGATAAGAATTACCTATATATCCAAAACAGCCAAGTTAAAATACAAATCATGGGGACTACACATTTTTGTCCTTAATATTTTTCACAATTCATTCCGAGAAATTCGAAAAATACACAGGGACATAAGATCCACACATAAAGGAGTTCTTGGTGCTATAACCAGACTTCTTAAGACAGTAATTGCAAACTATGAACAGAGGGGCTGGAGCTGTCCATTAAAGCCTGTAGTTTCTTAAAAATCTCATGTTTCATTAAAATATATATATATATCTATCTTATATTCTATTCATTTATACTTGTTTTAATTTTTAAAAGTTCTAAGTAACTAATTATGAATTATATGCTCTGTATTTTTTCCTTTTTAGTATTTCAATTGCACCACTTCAAACCTCCAAGGGTACAAGTAAGTACACAGTCTGAGAAGGTCAGGCTTAGGTCAATTTGATTACAGTGAAGGTAGATATTTACAATAAAACTGACAGAGATTAATCTTATTACTACTCCATGGAAAGGATATTAGATGTAGCAGTGCTGTAAACCCAAGAACTCCATAGTATAAATTTTCCTTTTCAACTGTACTTGTTAGTTTATTTATACAATTTTGCTTATAATGAATAAAGTATTGTTCTGGAGTAAAGAGACTTAATTGTTTGTAAAAATTATAATGCACAAACTTACCAATATTTTCTTCAGACAGCCTTAAAATCTCCTGGAACTGAGGTTTTACCTAAGCAACCCAAAGAAAAGATCCAGAACATCTCAGGTTCAACAGACCAATCAATGGTTAAATATAATGTTTCCTACCATTGCTACTACTACTTATTTTTAAAGATTTAAGTAGTCAAAAACACAACAGTTCTTAAAAGCCATAGGAAAAAAGAAGTGTCAAGTTTCTGAAAACAACATCTTTTTAGAGATAAAATATTTAAAAAATCAATTTACGTCAGCAAGTTTTTTGAAGGACCTTTAGATTCCTTCACTAAATTAAAATAATTTCCAAGGTGACTTTAAGTGTTTGAAATTACTACCTCCCAAAACCGAACCTGATGACAGAAAGGATACTTAGGTGGATAGTATATGATTAAAATTGTTGAAAGAAAATGTTCTGTATAAAAGGAATGAAAATGAAATTCCATTCATTTAGGATATTCAGTAAGTAAGATACTCATTAGGTTATATCCATTGGCTTAGTCTAACTTTTTTAAAATTTGATTTTAAACATGAAAGACAGAATTTAACATTAAAGTTTTAAGTTAGAGGAAATGCTTGTTTCAATTTTTATTTTTAACATCACAGATTTCAGGCCTCTGAAGTCAGCCACTTAAGTGTTAAAGTGAATTCCTAATTGCTTTTGTAAGAAAAAGTAAAATAAATAACAGTTACTTCTTCCGGAGATGTCAAAAAGGTTTTGCCAATGGTGATTCCCAGTAAAATCCAACTATACTTAAGATGTAGACCACTGTGAAAAGATTAACCTACAGCATCAGACGTACAGGATTAAATTTCATTTCACACATGAAAAGATTAAGTACAGATACATTAAATGATTTACTCAAGGATACACAGAGTCACAACCCATTTTCTGAATTTTGTCAGTCCACTATACCAAACTGTTATGCTCTAAATGTTTAAAAAACTACAGGCTTAGTAGGGAGGTGCCACAAAATTTTTACCTTTTAAATGTCTTAACATACAGCAACTACATCTTTGTAAGGTTTTGTTAATGCTCTAAAGAACTGGCTCAACAATCTGTTATGAAGACAAATGGATTAACAGGATTAAAGAAGAAATTAGGATCTAAGGACTTTCCAATTTTAATATTTAAACAACAAAATAACCTGGTTAGGCAAATGTAACAGTGATTGAAATATGCAGCATTTATCTCAAGTGTCCATTCTATTCCAAGAGCTCCTATTTTGTAGCAAGTATTCTACACAATCTGCTTTGTTTCTATAATCACCTGAGTGAAAGCGAAAGTCGCTCAGTTGTGTCTGACTCTTTGCGACCCCACACAGACTATACAGTCCATGGCATTCTCCAGCCCAGAATACTGGAGTGGGTAGCCTTTCCCTTCTCCAGGGGATCTTCCCAATCCAGGAATCGAACCCAGATCTGCTGCACTGCAGGTGGATTGTCTCTACCAGCTGAGCCACAAGGGAAGTCCAAGAATACTGGAGTGGGTAGCCTATCCCTTCTCCAGCAGATCTTCCCGACCCAGGAATCGAACTGGGGTCTCCTGCATTGCAGGTGGATTCTTTACCAACTGAGCTATCAGAGAAGCCCACAATCACCTGAAGTTCTGACCAAAGCATATAGAGGAAATGGTGGCTTCCTGAATCTGTGGTAGATTCAGTACAAGAAGCACATTCAAAGAATTGGAGTGGAGTCCCTAGCTGATACTTTCTCTGCTGGAAAGCTCTGAGACATCCACAGTGAGCAGACCTTATATTTAAATGTGGATACAGACTAAATTTTGACTAAATCATTTTCTGAAAATCAATAAAGAATATTACAGACCAGAATTTTCTTTTTTTATCATAGTTTTCTAAGATATTAAAAGATAATTAGAATAAAGGAAGGGCTCCTGCTTTTACTTACTCTGCCATAGCATTAATTAACACATTACATTTTTATATGTCTTGCATATAAGAAAATATGAAATACAAGTTTTTACCTTAGTGTTTGTAAAAATTTTGCCAAATGTCTGGCAAAGGCGCCAGAAAAATCTGGAGAATTCATGGACACAGGCAGTTGAAGTAACATTAATTTTGCCAACTATTTCTATAAGCTGTGGTAACCTGAATAAGAAAGAAAGGAAAATCGGCAGGGAATACAAATAAATTACTGTTTCCTTGCCAATTTTGGAAACAATCTAAATCTAACAATCTCTTCTGCTTTTCACAGCCAGTAAAATTAGAATGCAAAGGAGTTGTTTGGGACCCTTTGAAAAAGTCTTAACTTTATATTCTGTAAACTTCTTAAATTTTAACAGATTGTCATGAAATATATGGAACCTTAATGGCAGAGTTCTAAGTGTGGTGTTAATAAGACTTAAGTCAATGGAGGTGATATTTCATACAAAAGCTTGGCTAACATGCCACCATATATTTTAGCCTCAAAAATGAGAAGTGTGGATGTAGTTTACAATCCACCACCACTTTTAGATAATAAGGGAGCAGACAGGTCTTTCTGCAGTAATACAGACGTACCGTTTTCACAGATAAGCAACTACATGTCTACAGGTATAAATCTTCTCTCCTGAAGACAGTTACCACAGATGACACCAAATTATGTTTTGTTATTTTTAAAAAAATATTTTGCTATATTTTGTCCCTCAGTTCCTGGGCTTCCCTGGTGGCTCAGAGGATAAAGCGTCTGCTTGTAATGCAGGAGACCTCGGTTTGATCCCTGGGTTGGGACGATCCTCTGGAGAAGAAAAGGGCAACCCACTCCAGTACTCTTGCCTGGAGAATCCCATGGACAGAGGAGCCTGGCTGGCTATAGTCCACGGGGTCGCAAAGAGTTAGACACGACTGAGCGACTTCACTTTCTTTCTTTCTTTCCCTGGCTAAATATCGTGAGCTATCTTCCATTCAAGTAGCTGAGATGTAGCAAATGAACATGGAGGTGGTAACTTACAACTGACTGACAACCCATAGTAAACTCTCTCAGCCGGTTGTACCCTCGTGTTCCAGCTGGTAGTCATAAAGCTGTAGTAGCAGTGCCAGTTGCTCACGACTTCCAATAATAGTGATACATCCTGAAGAGGTGACATAGGCCGAGGGAACCTAGTCACTATAAAATAAGAGAAGCAAAATAAATCATGTAGAAAATGGCAGTTTGGAAAGTTAACTATCTTATCAAAAGAAAAGTAAGGTTCTGCCTCCTAATATCTACTTAGCATATTATAGACTTCAAATATAAAATTAAAATACATTAAATCACTTTTAGAAAAAAATGAAATGTAGTTGATCCCTGCACAATCAGGGGTTAAACTGTCTAACTTACAGTCAGACCTTTCAACCAACCATAGACCAGGCAGTACTACAATATTAACTACAGAAAACTATCCATATATAAGTGGATGTGTACACCTCAAACTCCTGTAATGTTTAAGGGTCGACTGTAAATTTCTCTTGCATGTGAACAAATTTAACAAATCTCAAAAATTAAGATTTTATGAGACTAAATATCTAGTAAATGAACACTGAAATGAAAGAGTTTGCCAGTAAAAAGCAAAACTTTATTTTAATTTAAAATTTGCTCCAAAATAAGATCTCAGTTAAAATATGGATTTGAATTTGGTTTAAAAAAAAAAGATAGTTTTAAATCCACCAGACTGCTTATGTCAATAAATAATAACTACAATAAGATATTTCCTTCATGGAATAAGAAACTAATAGGTTGACAGCAGGGAAAAATTGTTTAATACCAGAGAATAACCTAAAATACACTAAAGCTTAGCTGAACAGGATTCTTAAGTATTTAATCTCCAATATTAAATGTTTTATTTAGAAATTTTTCCATAATTTGATAAACATTAACTTAATATAAACTGTTAAAAGCAGTGACCAGTAAGATAAAACTATATGCAATAATAATTAAAAAATTATTATAAATATTATAACCAGGGTCTCAAATACAAACTTTAAAAGTTTTTGGGGAAAACTGAAAAAATGACTTTAAAAATTGCATAAATAAATAACAAATATACATTAGTATATTTTCAAATTTGAACATATTAATAAAATTTATGACCCTACAGATCACAATTAGATCTCAGGTCTTAGCTGGTTCTTAAGTGAAGAACGCTACCAACAGCTCCTTAACTGTTGAAGAGAAATTCCTAGTGGCCCAACAGCTCCTGCATAGAGGTTAACACCCTAAAAAGACACAATGAAGGATGCAGCATTTTCTCAAAGCATATGAATGGCTTAATGATAATCATTAAACTTAAGAAAACATGAAATAACTTTTAAAATGTTGAAAGACAAAATTAAGATGGTATTATCTTCCTATGCTTCCTAAGGTATTTAACAATATCTTGTACAGATAAAGGTTGTCCCTTGTTAGTTAAAGTCTCTACTTGCTATCATAATACACAAACAAATAAATGAATTTAGGTAAAATGGTACCCCATACTCTCTGAGATTTCTGCCTGAATCATCATTATCTCAACCTAGGAATCAAACAGATTTGGACACTGAGGGATAGCTGTACCTCATATTTCTATATCATGTCGAAGCACATCTGATCATTTCAAATAGGATCATATCATATTGGTCACAATCTGTGATACTACAATGGAATGCATATTATTCCTTCAGAAATATGACAAATTACTGAAAAACAGTGGAAGAGTTAAGAGTAAAATAGATAGTGTTAAGATTTATTATAGGAAAAGTGAGGTCCAAAGATTTAAAGTGAGGTCCAACAGAAGCAAAACAAGAAATAAGCAATTACTTGGATAACTCAGGGGTTCCCTGGGGGCTCAGATGGTAAAGAATCCGCCTGCAATGTAGGAGACTGGAGTTTGATTCCTGGGTTGAGAAGATTCCCTGGAGAAAGGAATGGCTACGCACTCCAGTATTCTTGCCTGGAGAATTCCATGGACAGAGGAATCTGGCGGGCTACAGTCCATGGGGTCGGAAAGAATCAGATATGACTGAGCAACTAATACACCATGGATAACTCAGTTGTAAAAGATAAGTAGTCGGAATGATAAGTTTGAGGTTTAGGAACCTCAAAGTATTATTCTATTTAAAAGGATTTTTAAAAATTTAAGCATCTAACTTGTCAACATACAGAAAAGTCCTCAGAATGCCATTTCAATAGACTGGCAAAAAGCTAGCATTTCATTGTCTAAAAATTACCAAAATTATCCAAATCCAGCAAAATAACAGCTGCTATGATTCTTTAATGTATTTCCTTCCCACCAAAATATCAGCTCTATGATGTCAGAGATTTTTTTCTGTTTTCTTCGTGAGTGCATCTGAAGTGTTCAAAATAGTACCTTGCATAAATATTAGCTAGTGTTGTGGAATTTTCATTATTTAAGAGAAAAACAAATCTTCACTTGTAATAAATTGTATCCCAAATTATATAGATGTGCATATAGACACACATATAAACATAGCTATACAGACATATAAACATAGCTATATAGACAGACCCTAAAAACGGATATAATATTTCCTCATTTATAGCAAATGTATTATAACCTACATGTGAGTATAACAACATTAACATTTACAGCTACTATTAAAAGTCAGAAGGTCAAATTAAGTAAGTGGGAACTTAAGATTATTTTTGACATGATAAAGACATAATCACAGGAAAGGCCACATAAACATCTGTTCAGAATGGTAAAGTAGTCTTGAAAATTTTCTGTCTAATCTCTAGCATGTGCTTGGCCATAAGTGACACTGAAGAATGATTTGCTAAGTGAATGAATGATAGTGAATGCTATGGGGTGAACTGTGTCTCCCTTAAAAATTTGTATGTTGAAATCCTAATGCCTAGGACCTCAGAATATGATCTTATTTGGAAATAGTACTGTTGCAGGCATAATTAGATAATATGAAGTCACGCTGGAACAGCATGGACGTTCAATGTAATATAACTGATCTCATAACAAGGGGAAGTTTGGGCACAGAGACACACACGCGTGCACACACACACACAGAACGGAATGTGAAGATGAAAGCAGAGATTGAGGGGATGCATTTACAAGCCAGAGTACTGGAGATCACCAGCAAGCCACCGGAAGCTAGGGGACAGGCAGGAAAGAGCTTTCCCCTCACAGTCTTCAGTTCAGTTCAGTTCAGTTGCTCAGTCGTGTCCGACTCTTTGCGACCCCATGAATTGCAGCATGCCAGGCCTCCCTGTCCATCACAAACTCCCGGAGTTTACTCAAACTCATGCCCATCAAGTCAGTGATGCCATCCAGCCATCTCATCCTCTGTCGTCCCCTTCTTCTCCTGCCCCCAATCCCTCCCAGCATCAGGGTCTTTTCCAATGAGTCAACTCTTCCCATGAGGTGGCCAAAGTATTGGGAGTTTCAGCTTCAGCATCAGTCCTTCCAATGAACACCCAGGACTGATCTCCTTTAGGATGGACTGGTTGGATCTCCTTGCAGTCCAAGGGACTCTCAAGAGTCTTCTCCAACACCACAGTTCAAAACCATCAATTCTTCGGTGCTGAGCTTTCTTTATAGTCCAACTCTCACATCCATACATGACCACTGGAAAAACCATAGCCTTGACTAGACGGACCTTTGTTGGCAAAGTAATGTCTCTGCTTTTTAATATGCTGTCTAGGTTGGTCATAACTTTCCTTCCAAGGAGTAAGCGTCTTTTAATTTCATGGCTGCAGTCACCATCTGCAGTAATTTTGGAGCCCAAAAAAATAAAAGTCTGACACTGTTTCCACTGTCTCCCCATCTATTTCCCATGAAGTGATGGGACCAGATGCCATGATCTTAGTTTTCTGAATGTGAGCTTTAAGCCAACCTTTTCACTCTCCTCTTCCACTTTCATCAAGAGGCTTTTTAGTTCCTGTTCACTTTCTGCCATAAGGGTGGTGTCATCTGCATATCTGAGGTTACTGATATTTCTCCCGGCAATCTTGATTCCAGCTTATGCTCCTTCCAGCCCAGCGTTTCTCATGAGGTACTCTGTATAGAAGTTAAATAAGCAGGGTGACAAGATACAGCCTTGACATACTCCTTTTCCTGTCTGGAACCAGTCTGTTGTTCCATGTCCAGTTCTAACTGTTGCTTCCTGATCTGCATACAGGTTTCTCAAGAGGCAGGTCAGGTGGTCTGGTACGCCCATCTCTTTCAGAATTTTCCACAGTTTATTGTGATCCACACAGTCGAAGGCTTTGGCGTAGTCAATAAAGCAGAAATAGATGTTTTTCTGGAACTCTCTTGCTTTTTCGATGATCCAGCGGATGTTGGCAATTTGATCTCTGGTTCCTCTGCCTTTTCTAAAAGCAGTTTGAACATCCTGGAAGTTCACGGTTCATGTATTGCTGAAGCCTGGCTTGGAGAATTTTGAGCATCACCTTACTAGCGTGTGAGATGAGTGCAATTGTGTGGTAGTTTGAGCATTCTTTGGGACTGCCTTTCTTAGGGATTGGAATGAAAACTGACCTTTTCCAGTCCTGTGGCCACTGCTGAGTTTTCCAAATTTGCTGGCATATTGAGTGCAGCACTTTCACAGCATCGTCTTTCAGGATTTGAAATAGCTCAACTGGAATTCCATCACTTCCACTAGCTTTGTTTGTAATGATGCTTTATAAGGCCCACTTGAGTTCACATTCCAGGATGTCTGGCTCTAGATGAGTGATCACACCTTTGTGATTATCTGGGTCGTAAAGATCTTTTTTGTACAGTTCTTCTGTGTATTCTTGCCACCTCTTTTTAATATCTTCTGCTTCTGTTAGGTCCATACCATTTCTGTCCTTTATTGAGCCCATCTTTGCATGAAATGTTCCCTTGGTATCTCTGATTTTCTTGAAGAGATCTCGTCTTTCCCATTCTGTTGTTTTCCTCCATTTCTTTGCATTGAGCACTGAGGGAGGCTTTTTTATCTCTCCTGGTTATTCTTTGGAACTCTGCATTCAACTGGGAATATCTTTCCTTTTCACTTCTCTTCGTTTCAGAGCTATTTGTAAGGCCTCCTGAGACAACCATGTTGCCGTTTTGCATTTCTTTTCCATAGGGATGGTCTTAATCCCTGTCTCCTATACAATGTCACAAACCTAGGTCCATAATTCATCAGGTTCTCTGTCTATCAGATCTAGTCCCTTAAATCTATTTCTCACTTCCACTGTATAGTCATAAGGGGTTTGACTTAGGTCATACCTGAATGGTCTAGTGGTTATCCCTACTTTCTTCAGTTTAAGTCTGAATTTTGCAATAAGGAGTTCATGATCTGAGCTACAGTCAGCTCCCGGTCTTGTTTTTGCTGACTGTATAGGGCTTCTCCATCTTTGACTGTAAAGAATATAATCAATCTAATGTCGGTGTTGACCATCTGGTGATGTCCATGTGTAGAGTCTTCTCTTGTGTTGTTGGAAGAGGGTGTTTGCTATGACCAGTGCATTCTCTTGGCAAAACTCTATTAGACTTTGCCCTGCTTCATTCCGTACTCCAAGGCCAAATTTGCCTGTTACTCCAGGTGTTTCTTGACTTCCTACTTTTGCATTCCAGTCCCCTATAATGAAAAGGATATCTTTTTGGGGTGTCAGTTCTAAACGGTCTTGTAGGTCTTCTTAGAACCATTCCACTTCAGCTTCTTCAGCGTTGTTGGTTAGGGTATAGACTTGGATCACCATGATATTGAATGGTTTGCCTTGGAAACTAACAGAGATCATTCTGTCATTTTTGAGATTGCACCCAAGTACTGCATTTCTGACTCTTTTGTTGAGCATGATGGCTACTCCATTTCTTCTAAGGGATTCCTGCCCACAGTAGTAGATATAATGGTCATCTGAGTTAAATTCACCCAGTCCAGTCCATTTTAGTTTGCTGATTCCTATAATGTCGAGATTCACTCTTGCCATCTCCTGTTTGACCACTTCCAATTTGCCTTGATTCATGGACCTAACATTCCAGGTTCCTATGCAGTATTGCTCTTTACAGCATCAGACCTTGCTTCCATCACCAGTCCCATCCACAACTGGGTATTGTTTTTGCTTTGGCTCCAACACTTCATTCTTTCTGGAGTTATTTTTCCACTGATCTCCAGTAGCATATTGGGCACCTACCAACCTGTGGAGTTCCTCTTTCAGTATCCTATCATTTTCCTTTTCATGCTGTTCATGGGGTTCTCAAGGCAAGAATACTGAAGTGGTTTGCCATTCCCTTCTCCAGTGGACCACAGCATTCAGAAGGAGCCAACCCTGCTGACAACCTGATCTTAGACCTCTTGCCTTCAGAACTGCATGACAACAAGCATCTGATGTTAAAGCACTATGTTTCAGTTACTTTGTTATGGTGGATGTAGCAGAACAATGCAGCAAGATAGAAAGAAAAAGGGGATTAGAAAGTCCCTAGGCAGCTGAAGTGCCTTAATGAGTGAAGGGGTAAACCTAAAGTGGCCAGTTGTGAGCACTTTGTGGTTTATCTTTAAGTCTGAAGTTGCATTCTCCTCAATAATTATAATTAAAAATTATTCAACTAACTCTACCCTATCCATTCTCAATTTTCCAAGTAAAACTGGCATTCTTACAGTATATACCATTTTTATGTGATGCTTCGCAGATTGTTGGATGATATACTGCTTCATATCCCAGAGATTACAGGTGGCCCAGTTTACTTCATATGGAAATTGTAACACTAAAAACACTTGATTTTATACTCCTGTTTATTAGAAGCCCAGAAGAGATATGAATAATTTCACAAATCTGAAAATCTCATACATACTAATAGCTTGTCTATAGCCATTTATTCTGGGGGTTGAGTGCTGTGGGGCTACCACATGCCATGGATCAAAGGTCACTTACTGGTTAGCTGGACTCTGAGCTAAGAAAATAATGGCTTTTGCTATCAATTTCATGTATTCCTGAAAATAAATCATATTCTTTTTTCTGGGGAAAAAAAAAACTGTGCTGCATATGCTTATATTCCTATCAAGGACACAGCAGGAAATAGCAATTACACTTTCTTTCTCCTACTGAAAATAACACAAAATAGCTGAGGAAGAAAAAAAATACAAAGAAAATGAAAATGAAAAGCTTCACGAACTGGCCCTGGTAACTATTAATTCAGCTCTGTTAATGAAAGAAAACACTTCTGACTTACCACACTGAAAAAAAAAAAGGCTATAAAAAGGCTCTAGATTAAGAATGGAGAGGAAGAATAAATATTGTAAAATAACACCATGAGGCTTATCCATAAATGATCAAGCCATGTAGTTCCCCTTAGGTATCATACAATCTCTGACCATGCGGTTCCACACATATAATATATCTTAGTAATTATGCTATCATAAAGTGACTTGTGGAGAAGGAAATGGCAACCCACTCCAGTAATCTTGCCCAGGAAATTCCATGGATGGAAGAGTCTGGTGGGCTACAGTCCTTGGGGTTGCAAAGAGTTGGCCATGATTCAGCAACTAAAACAAAATGACTTTTACAAATTTTAATCAAAAACAATTCTGTGGGAAGCTAAGCTGTTAATGTTCTACATCTTCCTTCCATAATTTAAGTTCAATACCTTCTATCTGTGGCACGTCACCATGAAGCTTGGCTTTGCTGGAGAAGGGTGCATTCGGTAGCACTAATGCAAAGAGAGATGGGATCAAGGACTGCAAGGCAGACAGAAACATGTGGAGCTTATGTTCATTCAGCCTGTGCTCGCCTTCCTGAAACATAAGCAGGTGGAAGCTAATTTAGTCTCCTGAGAGTATGCATTTATGATGCTCTTCCTTTTGGTGGCAAACAATAAAACATTTAAGGACATGTATGTTAGCCTCACCAGAGAAGGCAATGGCACCCCACTCCAGTACTCTTGCCTGGAAAATCCCATGGACGGAGGAGCCTGGTGGGCTGCAGTCCATGGGGTTGCGCAGAGTTGGACACGACTGAGTGACTTCACTTTCACTTTTCACTTTCATGCATTGGAGAAGGAAAAGGCAACCCACTCCAGTGTTCTTGCCTGGAGAATCCCAGGGACAGGGGAGCCGGGTGGGCTGCCGTCTATGGGGTCGCACAGAGTCGGACACGACTGAAACGATTTAGCAGCAGCAGCAGCATGTTAGCCTCACAGTAAACCTAATGGAGATGACCAAGAATCTTTTCTGAATTGCTCTGAGTATGTGAAAATATGAAGAGCTAAAAGCACTGTGGGGGCTTCCCTGGTGGCTGAGAAAGTAAAGAATCTGCCTGCAGTGAAGGAGATCCTGGGTGGATCCCTAGATCGGAAAGATCCCCTGGAGGAGGAAAAGGCAACCCACTCAGTATTCTTGCCTGGAGAATTCCATGGACAAAGGAGCCTGGTGGGCTGCAGTTCATGGGGTCGCAGAGTCGGACACTACTGGTCGGCTAACATTTTAACTTTCGCAAGGCACTGTGGATGTAATAGAATCTTTTGTATGGAAAACTTCAGGGTGAACATCAGTCATTTCATTTGTATGGAACTTCTTTCACAGGTTTTTTCTTTTAAGAGGGTCTTAACTTTTGAAATTTTAGAAGTCTGGTTAAAGATATTAAAGTGATCAAAGGAATCATTTTAAATGCTCAACTGTTAAACCAGCAGTAGCATGTATTATTTTCTCTCTACTTCCAAACTCCTTTCATAGATTTGATGACAACTGTATTTGCCAGAATTAATGCACTTTAAAATAATTTAATGTAAAACGCAGAAGAAATTTCAAAAGGAAACAAAAGAGATAATAGAAACAACAACCAAAACAAGTAAAACGATCACTATGGTACACAGAAACCAAGTATTAAAGTGAAAACTAGAATCACTAGAGATAAAAGCATTTAATGCTGCTCAAATCCACTTGGGATGTCATTATATTATAAATAACAGCTATGTCAGGAATACCAGATAAGTTACATTTTTTTTTACTATCAAGTTCTAAATTAGTTAATTTCTTTATGGACCATTACCTGTGCTGAATACTGCAGCTATGTTTAGTAGCAATATGGAATTAGCTGTGTTATGGAATGGAACAAAGAAAACCTGGTATGGATAATTCTCAGATAGAAGGGATGCAAATATTGAAAAAAAAAAACCTTGAGAAAAATTCCCTAGGTTTCACAAAAAGAAGTACTCCAGTCTAGCTATTTAGTCTTCAACATGCATTTTGAAATTTATAGGGAAAAAGTCCAATTTTTAAATTAGATAAATGCACATATATACATGTAAGACGATATACAGAGTAGTATATATATATATGTTAAAATACTTTATGTTAAGAGTCTTATAAAGAATCTTAAAATTTGGGGGTAGAGAGGGCAACAGTGTAGTTTCAGAGGCTGATACCTGATCCTGGTCCTGCCATTTGACAGCTGTGGAAAGTTAAACAGTTTCCACACCAAAAAACCAAAATATAATTCAAAGAGTTCTAAGAATGAAATAATAGATTTTATTTATAAAATATAGTACATAATGTGTACATAGTACACATGAAAAAAATGTTAGTTTTTCTCCCAGATGCTGAGACTTTTAGTACAAAAATTAGTTTTGTTGTATCGACTTTTCTTCTGTTCTTAGGAAGAATGGAAAATTCATTTTAAAGAAAAGAAAATTCATTTTACAGAGTGAAGGCATGAACAAATGCAGTGAAATAAAGTTAAAACATTTTGACATTGTGTAAATAAGAAAGCTTTGAAGACTCATATTTTAAGTTATCTCTGCGTTCTGGAGACTGAAGCTGAATACTTTATCTAAAGTATTTAAGTATTCAGAAGAGGTTAGGAAGAGGCAGCATTGGGAACAGTGTCAGAGTAGGTGCCACAAAGGTGCTATTTTAGCTAACAAAGTCAGATCATGCCCTTTCTCCTTAGCTTCAGTCAAGCAAAACTTCCTCAATTCTCTCTTGGCTCCAGACCAATAGAATCTTTAATGGGTAATCAATTAGAATGTTCAGCAAAGTGGTACTTTCTTTGCTTCCCCAACATTCTTTCAAGATGCCTTAAAACACACCTTTAAAATTTCTATTAACTGTATAAATAAAGGAAGCATTTACCCTGAGAAGTTTTTCAATCTTGTTCAGCAATTTGGGTATAAGGTTAGACTGTAAATTACCAAGTTTTGTAGTCCAGGCAGCAGTGGCTGGTAAAAATACTTGATGTGTGGCACTAATTACTCTTTCTGAGGGATCACACAAGGCTGACAGCAACAGTTCAAAACCCTGCCAAAAGGAAACATACACAACGCAGATTTAAAACAAAACAGAAGCCTCAGAAACACAATAAAATGTAATAAACATACATTCCAATACATTTAGAAGACATTTTAAGCAAGAAAGAAGCCATTCATAAGCCTGCCTTCCCCAATTTCTTTAAAGAAAAATGTCACGTATCCATTAATGGGGAAACCAGAGAGGAAATGGCAAGCTTGTTGCCAATTTCCTGCCACAAAGCTGTGGCAGATACTATAAATGAATCAAAGCATTTTCTCCTTGAAATTGCAGAATTGAAACCAGGCAGCCAACTTTAACTTGTTCAAGTTGACCCATTTGCCATCCATACTATAGATTATGGTGTGTCTGAATCAGAGATTTGGGATATTACACCATTCGGAATTTTATAATGGAACAGATGGGATTTATTCGGAAAAGCATACCTGCTGATATCTGTCTGGGTCATCAATGTATCCCATAATGATACCAAGGCTTTTGATCACAGCTTCTCTTACCAAATCTGCCTTATCTTCCATTAACATTTGTTGCAACACTGAAAGAACCAAGGAGCTACGGATCTCTTTCTGAAATAAACAAGAACATGTTTTACTATTTATTTATACTAGCAGCAGAAAAGAATAGAAAAAAATGACAGATAGCCAATCCAGATTAAATATATATTAACACGTTGCTATGTTTGCTGCAAATCCTAATTTCTGAAACACAGAAGACATTATAGACACAGCAGAAGTGCATGCCTCTCTTCCACCCTCCCCCTTGCCCTAATTCTCCTCTCTAAAGATAACATTTACCCTGAACTTGGTATTAATCACCTCCCAGCATATTTTTGTATTTTTACTATGTATGTGCCAATCCCTGAAATCTTCACAGTACGCTTTTGGCAAATCAACAGTCACCACTCTTCCATAAACAGATTCTTCTGTGTAAAAAGACGATTCTTTCTATCACTACCTATGGAACTCAGAAAAGCACTGATAGTCAAAACAACATGAGGGATTACAAAAATCACTCTGGTAATCAAAACATTTGCCTGGGGTAGGAGTATGGAAACTAAAATCCTGGTGTTGCTAGTTTTTTTTGAAGAACTGAGGGGAAAAAAAAAACAGAATGATAAAACATGAGAGTAAACTTTAAAAGTGCTTACAAAACTGCATGGCTATTTTCAGATGCTACTATTAAATATAATGTCAACTACTATTGTGTCTTAAGTTTCATACAACTTTTACCCCATGGATTCAGCCTAATTAATGTCTGAGGTTGGAATAAAGTGTCATTGTTTTCATATTCTTGCCCTTCCTTCCCTTTTTTGTACCAGTATTGTAACTTGATCAATTTATAAAATTCTTTAAAACCTCAACTTGTTTAGGTCACCTTTACATTTAACAGTTACAATAAAAGGAAATGACCATTTCTATAAATCTCTAGTCAGTGTGATTTGGTATGCATAGCAAGGTCTGAAAGACGTTTTTAAATATCTAGTTTTTGTTTTGATTTTTAAAAACAAAATATATGTAATTATAGAAAAGTTGGGTCACATTTAGGGTGGTGGATATACCTTTTGGTACAGCCTTGTTTATTTATCTTTTAGGTTAAATACTGTTTCCCAACATTTCTTTAAAAGTGTATTAAAAGGGCTTTTTGGTTGATATCTACACAAGCAATAGACAGAGGTAAGTAAACCTCAGCTGGGTATTTGCTTTGCAGCAATCAAGGCTGAGGTCAACTGTGGCAGTTTCCTATGCTAAGGAAACCCACAGGACAAGTTAGGAGGCTTCACGCCATCTGAGCTATGACTACACTGAGGTTTTACTGCTACCAGTTACAGTGGGGTAACGAGGCAAGTGGAGATTCATGCAGGAAACATTAAGTCCATTATAAATGCTGCTTAGCATTCTAATACTAGAAGCAGTATGGAACAGTTTCTTCCTTCTTTGAGAGCATGTGATGTTCAGCTCTTTCTTGGGACAATAAAAATAGGATGCTCCGACTCACTCAAGGATATCTACCTATACAATTTATCACAATAAGATAATTTTCTCTGAAAAGATAGGAAAACACTAAAAAAAAAAAAAAAGTTTATGCCCAGTTCCTGGTGGAAGTATGGGAAAATAAGAACTTTGATGCACTGCTAATAGGAGTATAATCTATGATGTCTTGGTTGGGGGCAATTTAACACTGTCAAAATAAAAAAATGCACATGTCAAGAGAAGCAAGATACAGAGGTTTTAACAATATGTGAAAATTTAAAATGCATAGATTCCCACACAAGGGATAAATAGATCATTGTACAGTGCGATTAATTCCGAGTAAGAAAAATTTTAAAGATACAAAAATGTAAGCTTGCATATGCATGAATTTTTATTTTCTTAAGTATCCATCAAAAACCATTAACCACAGATGTCTGTCTTTGGAGAGAATGACTAGGGCCAGGGAAGTCTTTGATTTTCATCTGTCTGAAAATTTATTTTCAACAACAACAACAACAACATTTCTGGGAGTGGAGACTATAAATTATTCTTTAATTATTCTTTGTATTTTTCTCTATAAAAAGAAAAGAATAATTTTATTTTTTAAAAAGACAATTGTCTGACTCTTGGGTTTCTCAGTCTTCACTCACCCTCACACTAAAGAATGTGAGGTAACGGTAAATGTAACATAAATAGCTCATGTACTGTTGAACAGTTCCAATTTTTGTACTCCTTTTAAAGAGCAGTCTTATAGAAATGACCCTTCAAGGCAGGGGTCAGCAAACTGGGCCAAAAAATCTCTGCTGCAACTACTCAACTCGGCTGTTGCAGTATGGAAGCAGACACAGGCAAGTCACAAGAAATGGGTGTGGCCGCATGCCAATAAAACTTTATTTATAAAAACAGGCTGTGTATTCCATTTGGTTTCCAGACTGTACTTTGTCAAGCTCTGCTTTAAATTATCATTGTTCAAAGTAAAATGACTCTTGATATCACCTCTTGCTTCCATCCCCTGTAAGCCCTGGACCCATCAGGAGACACCTCAGGAGCACAGGGTCAAAATTTAGGAGAATTAATAATTTCACTGATTCACCAAGTTTATTTTTAAGTGAAATTGACTTTCTGTGAGTGCACTGTAGTGAAGAATATGATCATTATCTGTCTATCTGGGTGTCACTGCTTTGATTAGTGCTAATGCACTGCCACCGTTGCCCATTATAAATTTTGCTTGCACTAACACTGTAACTGTCAACACAGAGAAAAAGACAAAAAATGTTTTAATATTATTATGAAAATAATTTTCATCTCATGGACCTCTTCGAAAGGATCAAGGAACCCCCCAGGGTCCTCCGACCAAACTTTGAGAATTCCTGATGAGGTTTAATATATTTATACTCATGTAAAATCAATGGCTAATGTTCTCCTCTGTCTGCAATGTCACATGGTATCAACGTGAGCTTTCTTTATTCAGCTTAACTTCTTCCTTTGTTACGACAGAATGTGGATTAAAACGTATAATAAGACACCTGAAAAAAAGGTTTCTCTATTGCTAAAAAAAGGAAAAGTTTTTTTTTAAGAAAAATCACAATTCTTACAGGAAGGTAAGGTGCCAGCACGCCACAAGATTCTGCCACAAGCAATCTTCTTTCTGGGTATTTGTGATTAATCTAGAGAAAAAATAAATAAATCAAACATAAACAACATACCCTCCCTTCCTCCAAAACAGAATTATTTTTCACCACAAATCCTGTTAGGAATGCCATAAGGCTTCTTTCTTTCCACTTCTGAGGATACCTATACCTGGATCAGGATTAAGGGACTCAGAGAGAGCCTAAAAAATGAGATCACGGGGGCTATCTGTTGAAGAGAAAGAGGATAAAGCAAAGATGAAAATGTGGCAAGGTGTCTAGAGATTGTGGGCTTGCCCAAGACAGCTTTCCTTAGGATGTCAGGAGCAACCTTTTCCTTCCCTAGGAACATTATTATATTTTCAAATTTGGAAAATCCAGCTTCTAGGTATTTACTGATATGGCCTACAATATGTACCAGGAATGATCCTTCATTCCTCTTTTTTACCTCAAGGATTAAGTTGCAAATCATCAGTGATTTAACCAGAGCCCCTGACTGGTGTTATGACTTTGTTTTTAAAGTAAGTATGTCAATTCATTCCTGCTTGCATATGCAAGATCATGGGGTTTTACCGTTGTAATGACTACGCTGAATCATAACAAAAAATGACAAAAACAAAAAAAATTACACATACTGGGTTTTGTTCCCATATGCCTTCTTCATAGAATATAAATCTTTCTTTGACTGGAAAAGAAGTATATCTGTTCTCATATTCCCATATGAAAAGGTGACATAATTCATTAAAGTATTGGATGCCTAAAATTAAGAAAAGAAATTACACAGCAATCTACTGGGCAACAAACTGGAGGCAGGCGGTTGACAGATCCCTGATGTCCATGTTTATTCGGGTTACAGAAGAAAGAGGTGGCAGGGGAGTTATTGGTAACTGAGATCTCAGAGTTAGACTTAACCCAGAAACAGTAACCTCAAGACAAAATGGTTTGAATGTCATAATATGTTACATATAAACTCACACATTTCTTTAGTCTAGCAGGATGTCTCAAAATTAAATGTACATACTACAATCAACTCTATTCCTACATACTTTCAATGAACAACCAGAAAAATACCGAAAATTCTATTTACACAATAGTATTAAAAAGAATAAAATACTCAGGAATAAACTTTAGAAGTACATACATTATATTCTGAAGACTGTAAAACATTACTGAAAGAAAATTCAAAAGACCTAAATAAACGGAGAAGTGAAGTGAAGTGAAGTGAAAGTCAGCCAGTCGTGTACGACTCTTTGCGACCCCATGGACTATACAGCCCATGGAATTCTCCAGGCCAGAATACTGTAGTGGGTAGCCTTTCCCTTGTTCAGGGGGTCTTCCCAACCCAGGGATCACGCCCAGGTCTCCCGCATTGCAGGTGGATTCTTTACCAGCAGAGTTAAAAAGCTTGGATTTTACCCTTCACAGTGATTCCAGGTGAAGAAATTCATGCATCATTGCCAAAACAAACAAAAAGACATCTTAAATTCATGGATTGAAAGGTTCATTATTGGAATGGCAACATTCTCCAGACTGATCTACAGATTCAGGGCAATCCTTACAATTTCAGCTGGCTTCTTTGCAGAAATTGACATGTTGATCTTAAAATTTACACAGAAATTAAAGGGACTCAGAATAGCCAAAACAACCTTGAAATACAAGAACCAATTTAAGGGGTTGGGGCTTCTTTTGTGGGTCATAAAACTGTTCTAAAATTGATGGTAGTGTTGGCTGTGTATCTCTTTGACTACTAAAAACCACTGAATTGTAGACTAAATAGGTGAGTTGTATGCTATCTGAATTACAATCTCAATAAAGCTTAAAAGATGGAAAAACAATTAAAAAAGACATGTACATATATAGAACTGTAGATAACTGTAAATTCAAAGTTGTGTATATTGTTTCCAACTTAATTTTCAGTGATTAGAATCTCACCCTAAATTAGTGTGCATTACAATTTGCAGGTAACAGGGACTGCCAGAGATAATATGAATAATATATAATGTTCTCTTTCAAATAATGTCTCTGGATTACTAAATTAGTAGATGAATCTACTAAATTTTAAAGAAAAAAGTGAATATCTGAAGAAAGTGGGAAGAGAATTCTCAAAGACCATATACTTTAGCAATATTCCGGAGAGTAATATTTTTTCTTAAGAACAAGTGACAGAGCAGATATAAATAAGGCCATGAAATCTGTCTTCATAAGTAAGAAATTCATCTTTTTAGGATGGAACAATGAGTTACTTAATGACCTAAATGTCAAGTGTTCAAAGTCAAAGATCCTGAATTCGAGAGAAGACAGGAATATTCAATATAAAACCAAAAGTATTGTTAGTAAATAGTGAGTTGAATTATAAATATACAGACTTCTTACATCAAAGGTTTACTCTTTATATTCTGTATATATTTGTAATATATAGAAGTATACAGTATATACAGATACTATGTCTATTATTTACCTCCTTACTTATGCATACACAGAACCTCTTGCTTTCCCTGAACTCATTAGTTTTTTTATATTTTTTTGTATTTTGTATCTCACTTGATTCAGAATAAAGCAAAATATCCCAGACGTTTCTTAAGCACTGTTAAATCACTGGGCTGGGCAACAGAAATAGTAGCATAATTTATATCCCACATGTTATTTCCTAACAGCATTTTAAAAAGATAACATGAGCATTTACAATAACCTAGAATACAACAGCTAGAGAAAACCCAATACAGCTATTTACCTGTTCCCAACATTGTGGTAAAAGTTCAGCTTCAACACGTGTGGGTCCAACATGACGTGCAAATGCCACACAGCCCAGCAGTATCATTTGCCTGAAAGACAGAATTAATGCATGTAGACTAGCATTTGCATTAGAAAGCACAACTAGGACTAAGGGTTAACAGGAGTCAGCTGCAATTATCATGGAGTACAACTATTTTTGTACAATCAAACTTGACTTTTGACTTTTCCCAGTGGAAAGGCTGCCCCAAGGGAGTGAGTTTCTTAAGACTAGTCCTTCCAGCAACGGCAACACCATTTGAGAGATGTTGTGAAGAGATTCTCTACTGCTGTAAAGCTGAATCTCCTAAATTAACTTCCCATATATATAACACATTCTGAGATTATGTTTAATGCTTCCATTTCTAATGAATTTCAGTTTCTAGTCACTAAATCAATTTATGATTATTTTCCCAGTATTCCTATAATTCCGTTTCCCAGGGGGCATAGTGGTAAAGAATCCACCTGCCAATGCAGCAGACCCAGATGACACAGGTTCAAACCCTGGACTGGCAACGTCCCCTGGAGGAGGAAATGGCAACCCAGTCCAATATTCTTGCCTGGAAAATTCCATGGACAGAGGAGCCTAGCCTACAGTCCATGGGGTCGCAAAGAATTGGACACGACTGAGCAGACAGATTTCTGTAATTAAAGACTATGATACCATATTAGTAAAATGATACTTAAGTGAGAATTTTTGGTATGGAACCCAAGATAACTGTGGTAGACAGCTTCTGACATGATTCCTAATGAAGTCTGTCTCCCGATATTCATGCCTGTGTGTAATCCCATCTTGGTGAGTGTAGACTGGACCCAATGATTTGCTTCTAACAAACAGAATAATGGCCAAAGTGATGGGATGTCACTTATGAGATCAGGTTACAAAGGCCTGTGACATCCATCTCGTGAGACAGTCTTTTCTGCCTTCTCAGCTGGCATGCTCTAAAGACACTACCATGTTGAATGGTTTCATGTGGAGAGAAACTGAAGGCAACTTCTGGCTATAAGTCAGTGAAGGAGGAACCAAGGCCTGCAGTCCAAAGATCCACGAGAAACTGAATCCCGCCAATGACCAACCACGTGACTGAGCTCAGACGCAAATCCTTCCCCCATGGACCTTGAGGTGACTACAGCCCCAGACAACACCTTGACTACAGCTTTATAAGAGACCCAGATGAACTGACTCACATAAATCATAATACAAGTGTTACTTTAAACCACTTTCTTTTGGGGTAATTTGTTATAAAACAATATATAAATAATTAATCTGATAGTTTCATTTGATGATGGATTTAGAGTTCAAAATTTTGAAAAAGATTTTTCACTTTTCAGAATGAAGGTACATTTAAAATGACTCTGAAAGTCAGAATGGTAAGTTTCTTTTTTTTTTTTTTTTACTTCTGATTACCTATGACTTCAAAACCAGTAAAACTTGATGAAAAAAAAAGCATGTTTTCCAGAGATGTTTCAAAGTAGCCAACTTTAAGGAAAACCAAAACAGAATGTTTAATTCATATCAACTATAAAAGCAATTACTCATTGCTGTTTCTTAAAATATGTCAATTTAACTGACAATTGAAGAGTGACTTTACGTTTCTACTTAGTCTATCAAGTCAGCTACAACTGTTCTCTTAGGCTGAGGAGAACAATGACAGACAATAAGTATATGGGCGGTAGGAAAATGTTGAGCCAATATGTCTTCACTGTATATGGCAGCTTCCTTTCACCATAACCTTGTAATTTTTATCTACATGATTTCCCTTTATACTTATGTCATTGTCTTCTCTGATGGCTTCTCAATTTTTCTTTTTCTATTTTCTCCTACTTTAGGAAGGCAAATAAAGTGAATAAAAGACAAATGGAAAAAGAAATTCCCAGGCTTTAAGATAGACAGTTAGCTTCTCACTAAAAATTTCTTCATTTCTGATCATTTCTACCACTACTAAAATAATGAGAAGTCATATACATAGGTTTCAGAAATATTTGATAATTATAATAAATGAACTGTTGAAATTTAAGCATTTTGAACAAATGTAAGAAGTATATACTTGTATAAGAACTTCATGTGAAATAACTTTAAATCATGAGTCACCATCACCATATTAAACATGTACAAATTTGTTCAAAAAATGTTAAGCCCCTCAAAATAAACTTGTTAGTCAGCAGAATTAAGAGTCACAATTGTAAAAAGTAGGTCAGTTTTGAAATATACATGAAACAGAAAAGATCAGATGGCTACAGATTATTAATAGCATTGGAAACAGACTCCTGTGATAGTAAAAATACTACTTCTACTTGTGGGAAATCATAAATACTGTTCCTACTTGTGAACTTATTTGACTGGTATTTGACACAATAGGTTTCCCTTGTGGCTCAGCTGGTGAAGAATCCTCCTGCAATGCAGGAGACCTGGGTTCGATCCTTGGGTTGGGAAGATCCCCTGGAGAAGGGAAAGGCTACCCATTCCAGTATTCTGGCCTGGAGAAATTCCATGGGCTATAGTTCCAATACTTTGGCCACCTGATGGAAAGAACTGACTCACTGGAAAAGATCCTGATGCTGGGAAAGATTGAAGGCGGGAGGAGAAGGGGACGACAGAGGATGAGATGGTGGGATGGCAGCACCGACTCGATGGACATGAGTTTGGGTAAACTCCGGGAGTTGGTGATTGGAGGTCTGGCGTGCTGCAGTCCACGGGGTCACAAACAGCAGGACACGACTGAGCAACTGAACTGACACAATAGGTGGAAATATGGTGTTAGTTATGGCTGCTAGCAAAGAATTACCAAAAACGCAATATAGCTGACCATAAACTTGGACAGTCCTTGTGTCCTCCCTTGTGTCCTCCTTAGGACACAAGGGAGCTTGTGATTCAGTAAGTAAAGTAATAACTTATCATATGTCAAACTTATGCTAATTTAAAACTTTTGCTTTTTTTTTATTCATATCAAATATAGTTAACAGTTTAGCTTATTTAAATAAATAATTATTTCTGAAAAGTGGAAGATCAACTGTGAATATGCGTGTTTAAATCCTGATGTATCTTGACCTGAAGTCACGCAGATAGGTACTTTTGGCCACCAGGTGGCAGCTGTCAGCTTTACTTGCGGTCTGTAAAAACGGGCTCTGTAAATTGAGAGATTTTTGCCTTGCACTCTAAAAATGACAGTGTAATAAGTAGTATTTAATTACTAATTAAGTTTCCAAGATAGGAAATAGCATTTTCAAGGAGAAGATAAAATACTCATTTTCCTATATAGCACCATCAAATTGTTCTCAGAAAATTTTTAGTTTGCAAAGAATGGAATCTGATTGAATTTCCCTTACTTCTATTCAGCTAGCATGTAGATTAATCTTGACTGGATCCTGAAAAAAACATGTCTCTCTGCTTGCTCAGGTATATTTTAATAAGGGTAGGAAAGAGATACCTGTTCACAGAGTTTAAAAGTCTACATGACTTTTTATTCTCATGGTGGAGAGATTCCTTGTGTTTTAAATTTCGGGCTTGATTTGTCTTACGGTTCACTTTATGATTTTCCAACATTCTCAGAAGAGGTAAAAACTTTAACAATCAGTAAAACAAGAACTAAAATTATATCAAGTTACCTAATCTTAATGTACAATTCTATTGTTTTGCGAATGTATAAGCAAAAATTATCTGCTTATTAAGATAGAAAATTGCAATGTGGAAACATTTCAACAGCTCAGTCTTGTCCAACTGGTGCTTAGTCTGCTTACCCTCCACTAGGATATTCTGTTCACGTTCACACTTGCACAGCTTCTCCTAGTATTTAAAAGTCTACTTTCTGGAGAGACATCTATCATGGTTGCCTGAGCAAAAAACCCATTCCCCTTTCTTCCAGAAGTCTCTTGGGTATGTGTCTTGTCTCCCTGCCCCCACCACTCTCATGCCCCCCAACACCCCCAAGTACAACTCATTTCTCCACTCAGGCATCCTTGATTGTGGGTGTTTGAATCAGGACTAACCAAAACACTGTATCCCTCTAGCCATACAGAAACTGCTTTACAGACAGCTTGGTGTTGCAGACATTCCTATGTTAAATATCTTATTTCTGGTAAAGCATAACTATTAAGAGGCCATGCTGTATCTAGTTCATCTGTGGAGGGGGAAAGGGAAATATTTAGGAGTTCTTGGAAATCAAATGTGAAAGATAAAAGCAAAGACTTAATGGAATAATTAGCAGTCCAAAGATAACAAACACAAAAGTGCAGAAGTTCAACATAAGTAGTTGGAATGACAAGAAGGAAAACACTGTAGGGCATTCATTGTGAACAAGGTCAGTGTTTCCTTTATTAAAAGAGACCTTAGAAAGAAAAGATGGCATTAAGATAAAAAAGGTAATCACGATGCCAAATTAATAAAATGAGCAAGTCAACATTATATTTACTTCCCAAAGAAGCAGTCATATTCACCTCTGCTCATCACCTGGCCTCTTGATCAAATTGAAAAGTATGTGGAGAAGCTGGTCTCTCTCCTTAGGCTCAGGATGCAGGCAGGCTGTACACAATATGAGGGGGATCAACTCCTAAAGAAACACAAAGGTGGAAAAAGTCAAAATAAAAATGCATTGCAGAATATTCTTTTCCCCCCAAAGTATTCATAAATGGAAGTTTTAAATGAAATAAACATCAACAGAGAGAAGAGCAAGTTTTTATTTTTTAAGGCTGATAATTCAAGAGAAAAATATAAATATAGTTATGGAGAGATTGTGCAGAAGATGCACATCACAATGCAATAAAGTAACTTATGATTGAACTAACCTTGTTTTCTCATCCAATACTTCCCAAAGGTCTATTACCTTTTACACTAAGTAACATTTTATTTTACTATAAGCTGATATAATAGTTTAAATTTTGAAAGTGCTTTTAAATAAAAACTTGCAGAAGTTAACTATATTTTAAAACCTAAAATGAAAAACAGAAAATGAAGATAACTCTTCATACTTCCATAAGCACAGTAGGATCAGAAATAATTAATAATTTTATACCCATAGCACCTAACCTAGTGGCCAATTAAAAAGACCATCTTCACAGGTGTTGAAAGCTCCCCATAAAAACATTTGCAGAAATGTTCTATTTTGAAATTAAAATTTTAAATATTTTGTTCCACTTTCAACATACAGAGGTAAATTTAGTATTTTCAACGAAACAGACAAGAGTTTATTTCTCTTTTACAAAGTATTTGAAAATTAAAGCTTTTTCACATTTTAATTAAACCGAGTTAAAATCCTAAAATACATTTAAAAGATATTAATGTTTTTCACTTTTGAAGTAGATTTGCAAATCTAATGAAATAAAAGTTCAAAAGTGATAAAGTATTTTTGGAGAGAAATCCTCTAAGTTATTTTGCACATATTTTAAAGAAATCACTATGATACAATAAAAAGGGTAGAATGATTATTCTCATCTATTTTTCCCATCTACCTCCCTACCCACCAAAAAGTACTAGTAGATTTAAAATAGGAATCAATCACTATGTACTAATGCATGACACTAAAGAAAAGTCTACATTATTCTGAAGATGCTCCCTTAGAAACATGATATGCTTTTAGAGAAGTTGAGACTGAAACTAAGGCATGACTAGAAGTCCTTTCCATTATTTCTAATGTCTTACATATATTATGTTAAATTATAGTTACGTGATATAAACTTAAATTCAAAGCACAAAGATGTAGATAAGAAGAGGAAAAGCAAATCTGAGAAGCAAAAACAAATTTAAAACCCTTATTCTGGAAAAGGAAATGGCAACCCACTCCAGTATTCTTGCCTGGAAAATCCCATGGACACAGGAGCCTGGTAGGGTACAGTTCATGGGGTCGCAGACTAAGCAAATATACTTCACTGGCTGAACTTATCTTTAAGATTAAGGACTGGGAGAAGTGATTTGCAACATATATAATCCACAAAGAGTGGAAAAAAGAAAATCTATAAATAATAAGAGAAACTTATTAGACAGTAAAGAAGCAGACACTTCACAGAAGTAGAAACACAAATACAAAATTAGAAAAGGCACTCTACTCTCATTAGTAATCAGAAAAATGTAAATCAAACCATGAGGTTCCATTTTAAATGTACCAAACTGACAAAATTTAAAAAGCATATAATACGAAGTGCTGATACAAAGGTAATTTTTAATACACTATCAGTTAGTTTAAATTAATATGACTACTTTAGGAGGAGGAGCCAAGATGGCGGAGGAATAGGACGGGGAGACCACTTTCTCTCCTACAAATTCATCAAAAGAACATTTGAACGCTGAGCAAATTTCACAGAACAACTTCTGATCGCTGGCAGAGGACATCAGGCGCCCAGAGGAGCAGCCCATTGTCTTCGAAGGGAGGTAGGACAAAATATAAAAGATAAAAAGGGAGTCAAAAGAGCTACGGACGGAGACCTGTCCCGGGAAGGGAGTCTTAGTGGAGGAAGTTTCCAATCACCAGGAAACCCTCACACTGGCGGGACTGGGGAAGGTTTTTGGCAATCTAACTGGGAGGAGAAATTAAATAGGGCCCACAGATTGCGTGCCTAAAAGCAACTCCCAGCAGAAAAGTACCCCAGACGCCCGCACCCGCCAGCAACAGGCGGGGGCGGAACGGAGAGGAGCGGGCGACATTGCTTAGGGTAAGGACCGGCCCGAAGACCCTGAGAGCAGTCGGAGGGAGCTTTTTTAAACTGTGGGATAGCAAGGGACAAAATTAACCGGCCTGAACACACTGCCGGCGGTTCGCAAAACAAAGGGACTGAGAAACTCCAGAGAAGAGCCGGCCCATCCCCGCTGGAGGTTGGAGGCAGGGGGGAGGGGAAAAGGGCAAACTCAGCCCCTGAGAAGCCACCCCCTCCCACACTGCAAACAGGCCCCGGTTCCTATCTAAAGACTTCCTGAGACCCGACTGGCGGCGCGCGCTGGGGCCGCGGAGGGGAAAAGCGCGCCGTACCCGGGGAGAGTGCGCCCAGGCCTCTGGCTGCCTGAGCTGCCCGCCGCGGAGGGAAAAGGCGCGCCGTACCTGGGGAGAGTGCGCCCAAGCCTCTGGCTGCCTGAGCTGTCCGCCGCGGAGGGAAAAGGCGCGCCGCACCCGGGGAGAGTGCGCCCAAGCCTCTGGCTGCCTGGGTCGCTCGACGCGGAGGGAAAAGGCGCGCCACACCCGGGGAGAGTGCGCCCAAGCCTCTGGCTGCCTGAGCCGCTCGCCGCGGAGGGAAAAGGCGCGCCGTACCCGGAGAGAGTGCGCCCAAGCCTCTGGCTGCCTGAGCCGCTCGCCGCGGAGGGAAAAGGCGTGCTGCACCCAGGGAGAGTGCGCCCAAGCCTCTGGCTGCCTGAGCTGCCCGCCGCGGAGGGAAAAGGCGCGCCACATCCGGGGAGAGTGCGCCCAAGCCTCTGGCTGCCTGGGCCGCTCGACGCGGAGGGAAAAGGCGCGCCGTACCCGGGGAGAGTGCGCCCAAGCCTCTGGCTGCCTGGGCCGCTCGCTGCGGAGGGAAAAGGCGCGCCGCATCCGGGGAGAGTGCGCCCAAGGCTCTGGCTGCGTGAGCCGCTGGACGCGGAGGGAAAAGGCGCGCCGCACCCGGGGAGAGTGCGCCCAAGCCTCTGGCTGCCTGGGCCGCTCGACGCGGAGGGAAAAGGCGCGCTGCACCCAGGGAGAGTGCGCCCAAGCCTCTGGCTGCCTGAACCGCTCAGGCCGGGGAAGGAACAAAACGCAGGCGCAACCGAATCCGCGCTTTTGTGGAGTACCCGAAAACTGGAACCGCATTCAACGCAGGGCCCGCTCCATATAGAGCAGCCGGGAGCCTGGGCAGTGTAGACGGGGAAAGCACTGACACCCGTGAGCGGGGCAAACCCAGTGTGGCCGGAACACGGTGAGTGCTGTCCACACAGAGCGGTATCTGTCTGCAGCGCCCCGCCCTCCCCGTAGCAGGACTGAACTGAACTAGCGAACCTAAATAAGAGATCGCCGCCACCCGCCTGTGTCAGGGTGGAAATTAAACACCAAAGAGACAGCAAACAGAAGCCAAATAAACAAAGGGAACAGCTTCAGAAAGGACTGGTGCAACAGATTAAAATCCCTGAAGGTAACACCGACTACACCGGAAGGGGCCTATAGATATCGAGAAGTGTAAGCTGGAAAGAGGAGCTATCTGAAATTGAACTGAACCTACATTGACCGCAACAACTCCAGAGAAATTCCTAGATATATATGTTTTTGTTTTTGTTTTTTTAATTAAAAAAAATTTTTTTTTTCTTCCCTTTTTTCTTATTTTTTATTTTTCTTTTATTTTTTTTAAAATTCCCTATTTGGAGAAGGAAATGGCACCCCACTCCAGTATTCTTGCCTGGAAAATCCCATGGATGGAGGAGCCTGGCAGGCTATAGTCCATGGGGTCACAAAGAATCTGACACAACTTAGTAAATGAACAACAACAACAAATGACTGGAAGTATGTCTCACCCCAGAGAGGTTTCTGGAGATGTGTGTAGAGAACGTTCAGCTGGGAGTTTAAGGATGGGGGGTGAATGTTGAAGTGGTATTTTGGTATTCTTTCCCCCATATTCCCTCTCCCAACATGGAACTTATGTTGACTTTATCCATAACACTGCCTATTAAGCCACAAAACCTCGAGAAACAGGGCAGTAAAAAATAATGAAACGCAATATTCAGGATACATGGAAAAGCAATGATTTACTTTAATCCTGGGGACCAGCAATAATACACCTGCCTTGGAACAGGGGATGGCATAATGTTGGCATAACATTGGGGTTTAATCATTTTTGACCACATTTTATAGACCCTTTCCTGTAATTAATGCTAAATAAAGTCAACATCTTCTCAAAAAAAAAAAAAAAAAATTCCCTATTACTCCCCCATTACTCAACTTTCATTTTCATATATTTTTACGATTTTTTTAATTAGGGAAAAAAATTTTTTTTCTTTTTCTTGTTTTTCTCTCCTATTTCCTTTTAAAGTCCTCTAATACTCCTCTATTATTCCTTAATTTTCATTTTCGTTTCACTATAACATTGCCAAAAAAAAAAAACCAGAGAGAGAAACCCTATTTTTAAACCAAACTTAATATACATTTCTAAATTCTTTGTGTGTTTTTGTTTGTTTTCAAATATTGTATTTCAAAGAGTCAGTATATGATATAAATTTTGGACATTTAAGAATCCAATATTCAGTTCCCATTTCTATTCAGGAGTGTGGTGATTACTCTCCCACTTTTGACTCTCTGTTTTCTACCTCAGAACACCTCTGTTTCCTCCTTTCCCCTTCTCTTCCCAATCCAACTCTGTGAATCTTTGTGGGTGTCTGGGCTACAGAGAACACTTTGGGAACAGATAACTGCGTAGATCTGTCTCTCTCCTCTTGAGTCCCCTTTTTCTCCTCCTGCTCACCTCTATCTCCTTCCTCCCTCTCCTATTCTTCATGTAACTCTGTGAACCTCTCTGGTTGTCCCTCATGGTGGAGAATCTTTTCACCATTAACCTAGAAGTTTTATTATCAGTGCTGTATAGTTGGAGAAGTCTTGAGACTATTGGA